CTTGCGGTGGAGGCTCGAGTAAGAGCTCTAATGGCAACATGGACGGGCGAGTGTCTCCTCTAACAGATTGGTGTACGCATATCTGCCACATTGGTTTATGTATATTTAGATCACACCAGTAGGCCAGCACTACGGAAGAATCCGGGTGAGGTCAGTTGCTCCTCAACAATCAGTCTTCGTCAGAGTAGATCTCCGATCGTCAGGGTAATCTCCGATCTGACTGATTTCACGTAAAAAGTAACTCAAGTCCTCTATTGATATTTATTGCGAAAAAGCTACCAAACACTGGTACTTTTTTGCCCGACGTGCCATGGCGACTGTAGGCTCTAGTAGAAAGAGGTTGCAAACGATGATGGCATGGGAACGTCGCGACCGAGTCTCGCGAGTAGTGTGTCTCAGCAGCTGTATTCATAAACAGACCTCAACAACCACGACACATGGATCAAGTGCCGGGTCGAAGTACGCCTGTTGGCTGTAAGTCGTATTCTGTACAGAATAAAATGAAAACACGTTGTTAGAAGGAGTGGATAGCCGCACGCCAGACGCGAATATGGCGTCGGCGTCGGCGTCCCAGCTGAGTCGGAGCAATTCCACATTAGCTCTCTAGCCTATTAGCCAGCTTGGATCGTTGTGATTGGCCTGATTTCAAAGAGAACCTTGCGACCTCAATGATTGGCTGGAAGTGGTGACAGCACAGTACATGGCTTAGCACCGCTGGCGAACAGCCTGTCGCTAATGCTCACGTGCAAACACCCATCGGAAACAGACGCAGACGATGGGAGTATGGTCATTACAAATGTTTCCAAAAAGTTCTCCAGGGTTTGGCATTCGTGTGCCAACCGTCAGGGCTGTTTTTTTAACTAGCTCCAACTTCTGCTGAACGGCATTTTCGAAGCATCTCCCTACCAGGTTGCAAATCCTCCCGGCAACATAATCTACACGACAGATGTGGAGTCTTGGTGGCGAAAAGGCGAGGAAAAACTACATAGATTTCTCAACGTCTTTAAGGGTTTGGATGGCCCTTGTGAGTGG